CCCTCGCTCGAGGATCCACTTCATATAACAACGTTAATAATGAGCAATTTAAAAAGTGATATTTCTGATATTATAAACACAGAATATTTAGACTCAATGGCTGGCATGCTTTCCATGTTTATAGAAACGCCGATCTATTATTTACTTGGTCACTTCTATAATTGTGAAACTGCGTATGATTCTTGGAACCGGTGCGAAAAGCGAGTCTGATTGGATCCCGCCGAGGTAAATGCCACGGGCCATAGAAATGGCAAAAATAAAATGCGATTCAGACGTACGTTGCACGTGGATTTGTTTCTGCGTATTAGTGAACGTTTCAGTTAAACACACATCGTCAAAATCACATCGCAAATAAGGCGACGTTAAGAAAAATGATATCTGTATTCAAATTTGAAACTCGTTGCGATAAGTCGTGGCTTATTACCGATAAAAATTATTCAGGCAAAAAGAGAGCTGGCAGGAAAAATAGAGAAACTGATAGACAGAGCTCGTAGTAACGGCGAAGTATAATTATATACCGCTGTGCAACTTTCGAAACGAATGGAATTAATTAAAATTGTAGCGGAGGTCTCACGAGATTTTTAAAACGGATACGTACGGTTTACATTCTCGGGCAGACTTCGGTGCAGATTTTCTGATACCTCAATTATACGGGAGAAACGGATTAAACGTAGCGAATAAAAAACCAAGGTCACTCCCGCAAATGTTTGAACAGGTGTTACGAGCTCCCAGCTGATTAATGCCTCGTACAGTTGGAACAGTTAAATAAACGAAGGGAAAGGATATGCGAATGTAGACTGAGGATAATATTACCCTAGGACAGGGTTACTTCCAAACTTGTTCACCGACAAACGACTTTCCATGAAATATGTACATCGCCACCGATGATGTACGAATACCAAACTCACCTATGAATACTGGATTCGATTCAGTCTTTCGAAGTGGTCGAATCATTTTTAATCTCGATTATTCGTGGATTGACTGTTCACTTTTGCATTACTTCCCACCGTAAAAATATTTCCATTCACTCGAGAAAAATTGATTCAGCAATAAATCTTGCAAGTAAAAGTTGCGACATGGATTCTGCTTTTGATATCTGAATGCTTCGGCGACAGGGAAACGCTTTATGCCTATTCCGGCTGATAGAATCGTCTCCACGTTTCGCCGGGAGAAAATCTCAGACTCGATCGAAAGAAGAAAAAAAAAGAGGCATGACAAACGACCGATCAGCCACGCGATTCTGAATCCTTTCTCGACGGATCAGCTGGCCACGGATTTCGCTGGCCGAGCGTGACAATGATCGATTCGCCGCCGCACTGTTAACGGCCTTGCTGTGCCGGTGGAACACCGGTTTTCCCCGGCTTACCAAAGTTGAGCAACGCGGTGGGCGCGGTCTTAGGACCAGTTTACAGTTACCGGACGAACCGCCTTATCCTCTGACCAGATGAAAATCGCCTCTCGCGACCAGTTCTGACGTTAACCCAGAGATAAGAGATAAGAGCCATGGGAAGAGGGTGAGATTCTCACGAGTTTCTAAAATCCTTATATACACCACTTTTTCAACTACAAATTTTTTACTCGTAGTAACGGCGAAATCCAACTCGTTCTTTATTTTGTGCAATGAATACTGTTTTTTATGTGTTCATTTACAACTCATCTGAGACATTACGGTCCGCTTTCATGTAGTAAGTGAGCCATAAAAATTTGTCGACTTCATTTTTATAATCTAAATGTTATCTGTTTCAATAAAATTATTTTTAATGCGAACTCGTAATCCTCTACTGACATTTGATTAATCTTAAAATCGTAAATTCGTTATCTTTTCAATCGATTTACGCTTTTTAACAGTTTTATGGATTTTCAGATCGTAAAAGTGCCCTCAGATAAATCGAAACATGCCTCAGTACGAATGCATAATAAAGATTTATACCTCGATCTTTTAATGTACAACGAAAGTTATTAAATTGTTTGTTTAATTCTCGACGAGAAAGGATTAAAAACTGTGGTCACGATGATAAAAAAAAAAATATCCTGTCAGATAGTTAATAACGTTCCGCAGGGAAAACGAGGCCCATTGTGCGAACAGCCGAGCGACGAGGAATTTAATGAGCCGTTAAGCGCGAGTTTAAGCGTCACGCGTTAACGTGCGAGTATACACGGTGGTACCTACGTACGTGGCGAAGCAGGAAATGCAAAACGATCGAGAGAGGCAGCGGATAAATTTCACAGCGAGTTAGCCGGTGACGACGACGCCGGAGTTTAAGTGAGTAAAAGGGAAAACGCATTTCTGCTCGCGTCACTACGCTGCCGCGGCGAGGACCTCGTTGTACACTTTCCCCTTTCGCGTGAGAGCATTCCTCTTTCATAAGCTCGTTTCACGGACGGACGAACGGACGGACGAACGCCAGTCCCCACGGTGGAATATCTGACTTTCTGACCTGAGATCGATACGAGAGAAAGTTAGTTGCGATTCGATCGGTGTCCAAATCGCGTTTACGTAAAACTGGCCGATGATCGCACGCGATTTTACCCGTCGTTTTCATTTCGCCCCTCGAAACTGTTTATCGGCTCGTTAACGCTCGATTTCAGCCTGTCGTACTTCAACGAGTCTTCGAATGAATTCGTAACTTTCACGAGCACCCTTGAAACTACCGCAGCAGCTATTGGCATGATCGAATTTGCACCGTGCGTGATTATTGCCACAGGTGTATGATTCAACGGGATATTGTAAATATTATATGCACGGTAAAGTTGTACTGTACTGTGTACTACATGCTAACGTCATCATACATCGTGCACGTGTTCGCCGTCTCACGGAAACGCCCCATCACGTATACCGAAGCTGTTACTGGACCGCCTACCGTTCTCTGTTCAAGCAGAATCGAGTTAAGAAATGTTGCTAATTCTGTAGAGTCCTCACTTCTTAAACATTCTCACTCGACGAAAGTTCTCTTCATTGAAAAACGAGATGTTCAGGACTTAAGTAGAAGCGGAATTTGTGCAGAACAAAACGCTGCCCGCCGGATCGATTTTGGCGTTGATGAGGCGGATCAATTCGTCCAGCCAAGGCCCTTAATACCTTTAATTGTCCGCCTTCGCTGTTCGAGGTCAAGGTAGAGTCCACGGGTTACGGTCGATAGCACGCCTGCGCGCTCTCCGCCGCTATTCGCAGCCGCGGAAGAATCGTAGAAGTAGAAGAGAACGAAGCACATACAAAGGGGAAAAGCATGCGCGGCAATGATCCGCGGTTCGATGCTGGTAGAAGTAGAAGGCGAAAGGCGCGAACGGAGAGAAGCATGCGCGCGATGATTACGCGTATCGCATTGGCGGGAGGATCGTGGAAACAGAAAGGAAAAGTGCTCGGCCGCAAAAGCACTTGCGCGCGACGAGTTCGAAACCGGCGCGTAGAATCGCGGGAGCATAGAAATAGAAAGAAACGCGCGTGTGCGCGATTTCACTAATAGACTAGTGGATGTATAAACGTCGGAGGAAAAATAACAAACGCATTTTCGCATTGATGACAAAATGCGAACGCACTTGGCTAGAACAGAGCTTACGCGTGACGAATTCAAAACCGGCGCGGCGGTAGTACAGAAGGTGAAGAGAACCGCGCGGCGCACATGGTTCCGCGTTTCACGGCGGAGCGAGTGTATGTATGTATGTGTAGAAAGCTCGGAGGAAGAGGAAGGAAGGCACGCGAGCAACGGGATGGCCTATCGGTCCCGAGGCATCGTGATCGTTCGTTAAGGAAGCTCGGCCTGGGCGTACATTTGGCGAACGTAAAAAAACATCTCGACCTAGGACAACTTGGTCGGAACCGTATCTTATCCCCACCTCGGGAGCCGGGAGACTCAGCTGTTCGGTAACCAGCTGAAATTCGCGAACGGTGGCCTTGACTCGCCTCTCTCGCCGGCCCGACAGAAAATGTCTAACGAGGACCCCTGCGAAATGAGAGACAGAGAGAAAGAGAGGAACGGAGGAATGAAGAGGAACCATTCTCAGGCCACCGTTGCTCGATCGACACGTTCCCCCATTGCCAGTCGGGGTACGTACATACACCATCGTTCAGAAGTTCTCAGACAGCTAATAAAGAGCATAATCTAATAAAATGTCTATTTTTCATTGACATAATTAAGTAACAATTCTCGTATTATCTCAGTTCGAACAGCCCTTTAGAATTGTACAATCAACGTTCCTATAGGGTCTCATAAAGTTCGCAGATATCTCGGTTAAAACGCGGAGGATCGGTCGTTGTGAACGGGAGTGTACGCGTACCTGTGCACGCACGTGACATCGTTCCTCATATGAGAGAAATCATACCTGCCCGGCATGGGACCGGTTAGACGCGTTCGCGAACTGAATGCTAATCGCACGGTTGCGCTTTCGCTCTTTTGCGTTTCGCTCGCGGTCGGAATCAGGTGTAGGCAAATTTAATCCTTAAGTGCGGCAAAGAAATATCCGCCTTTCGAGCGCCACCGTGAAGCAACCACCTCACGTACTCTATTTTCCTGAATATTATCTCGTATCAGTTCGTGGAAGCAATTATTAATTAACGAGGAGGATAGACACGAAGTTACTTGGTACATAGCATTAATGTCAGTGCCGTTTTAGAAGGTTAAACTCCGCGAGTTAAGGAGCTTTCCTTACACAACGTAATGTCATGCTATACACGTGCGCTACTAATAAAGACTTTTCGCTTGTCGCATTTCATTTTACCAACGAGAAAAGGAGAGAAATCGTATTAAACGTCTTAAGCCCTTCCTAATATCTTTATCTCTTATTTCAATTACACACGCGGAGTAGCATAGAGTTGCATAATTAATTCATGTGAATGTGTTTAATTAAAGAAGTATTATGAAGTGTAAACGTAAACTTTCTATTCTTTTGAAAGTTTTATATTTTACGCGTTATTTCATTTATCATTTAATTAAATTATCATAAAACGAGCCAGAAGGAAGCTGTCATCTACCATGCGATCATCGATTTTTCCAGCTAGAGTGGAAGATTGACTTTCCTAGAAAATTCTAGTAAACGCATATGTGATTCTATACATCTATTATGAAATACAAGTTATCTCAACTAGCAGAGGATCCATCACAGGCCATAAACTCTTACACAATCGATTGCGTAATATGCAATTTTCGTGTCGACGAAAGATTACCAAGCTGCAACGCGTGATACGTCCAACTGACCATATTGATAACAATTATTAACTTCATTATCGTTTCTCGGTATTTAATCATTAAAAAGTTTCTTCTAAAACTGTCCTTCCTTCGGATTTTATCTTTTCCCATTTATCTCAGTAGCTACGATCTGCTATTTCATTAATGAATTAAATTTGTATTACAGAAATTACGTAATTGTCACAGTAAAACGCGTCTTTACTTAAGGTTGTATAAACATTGTAGAGATCTTAAAAGGAAATAATGAATGGTAACAAAAAGTATAGAGAAGTAGCTCCAATCAGACTCTCGCCGGTAAGAAGCCAGGCACGTAGTATAGGTCCGCGACTGGTCAGACGCCCAGCGAAGGATAACGTCGTCGTCGCGTGCGCCGCGCCGTATAGGAAGAGGCGCGTTGCGTCGCGTTTCATACGGGAAACGCGAGATCGACAGGTCTCGTGATGGAAAATGCCGTGGTAACAATGTTCTCGTACGTTCGGGGCGGCTACTAGTTTTCTAATGTCTGATATATCTCGCATGCACGCGCAACACCGCTCTCCCTACTTCTGCTCATTAGCCGCGCCGCGTCAAACCTTACAAGGTCGCCAATGCTATAGTTTCCAAGGAGATGCTCTAATGAATACATATAACATCTCTTGGCCTTACAAAGAACTTGTACGCATTGTCTTCTAGCCATTCGCATTCCATCTTATCTGACGGCCTTTGGTAACACGGGGATCACGACTACGCCGACTGGTTATGTTAAACAAATTTATAAACGGAAAATTGCATGTTCTAATACAAGAAATAATGTTCGTTTCTTAGTTGTTTTGGCATGCAATTTTCTCGGTAGTATTACTCGAAGAGGAAGTCTATGACCATAAATCAGATTACTCCATTGTAACAGTGTCATTAACGTGACGCGAGTCATTAAAAAGGCTGCCAAAAATGATCTAACGTTAACATCCTGATCGACAACCATATCACGTCACTGAAGTTGAACAACTCATGTAACAATCTAATTTTAGAACCGATCATTCATCGCGATTGCTTTAAATATCGCGTCGACATTAAGAACGTTGAACGCGCGCGATTTCGTGAGCCGATTGACCGTTGAACGTTATTAAAAGTTTACGTACACTCCTATCTACTACGTAATTATGTATGTACATGTCGCGTGAAGTCGTTAGACAGTGTCTCGGCGATGTGACAAGCGTCTCGGTGATATACAGCCATATTTTCAAATACTCGATCGAATGTGCGTCAGGGTGGAGAACAAAAACATTCGTCGAAGACGGAGCCAACAGAACAAAGAGAATCGAACGCGTTTCGTAGACGTAATGTCGATGTCACGGCCGCCGACACTCGTGCCACGCAACTACGTCAGCGGCATCGCGTATATTACCAATGGAATCGTTCTCTACGTAATTCATTGAATTGATACCGTTAGACGTTTTTCCTTTCCCACTTCCTTAGCTAAATATCTGAATATTGATGATGATGACTGAATTCTGAAGGTAATCGGAATCGCGGAAATTACCACCGGAAATCTATTAACGATATTGTTACACGTTATGGACCGGCGTGTAATTCACCGTGAAATATCAATAAAATTTCCACTGGGCAACACGTTGTTATGAAAACAAACGTGTTGACTATCACATTATTTCAACTCTTACGTAGAGTTCCAGAAAATATTACGCGTTAAAATAATAAAAAAAAAACAGGAATAAAAATGAAATTAGTCCAACAGATTTTCTTGAACTCATGAATTTTACTTATTGTTAGTCATTATCTAACTGTGAGCAAAGACTCTTGAATAAATCGCTGATGCGATTCGAAATTATAATGATGTTCGAAAAAGGAACGAAGGAAGAGAATTAGAATGTATAATTACACATCGGGCCCGGCTCTAATAGGCTTGGCCGTTGTTGCCGGGCACGCGGAAATATGCGCTCGTCAAACGTTACGGTGAACGTCAAGTTTACGCAATGTTATTACGTAAGACGGACGAACGTGTCACGATACGTACGTCCCAAGCTTCGTACTTGTACATGTCCGTACGTACGCCGTTGGCAATGAATCGAAACATCCGCATCCGCATCTCCACGCGCGTCAGAAGATATCCACCCAAATCATCTCTGACCAATTTCCATGGTCAAAGTTTTAAATTCGTTTGAAAGGACCCGGAGATTCGAAACAGTGAGTTTGATTTCTTTCTACTCGTAATAAGTTCCCTTTGACATAATCGCCAAGTCCACTTCTGGATCTTAGTTTAGGGTACTTGTTGATAAAATCACGCGATGCGTCAATCATGGAGAACTGCTACAAAAGGACGATTCGCGACGGATTACTTTCATAATTTTCCTTTTGCTCGAATTATGCAAACGGTGGGCTCGGTTTACGTAATTGATTGACAGGTACGCACCGCTAAACCCGTGAGCGTTTCAAACAGTGAAATGACCAACAGGCTAATTGTAAGCGCATTGACATATAAATAGATAGTCGAGTTAGATAAATCTTTGGTTCGCCGTGGGGATGATGCGCGATCGACCTTGAATCCGCTTCACCATATAGATACTGATTAAGTATCGAAGAAATTATGAGACCTTTTACTCCTTTACTGTTAAAAAGTTAATCGAGTTTCATAAGGGTTCCAACGTTACTTTTGACATTATAAAATAGGATTTGCTTCTTCCACGTAAAGCGTGCTTCTCGCTTGGCGATTTTCAAATCTCATTTAAGCGAACATGCAAGAGCATCAATTTTGAGACGTGTCCGATCGCAGGATCGATGTAATTTACTTTTTCCACAATTTCTAACGACGATAGAGAGCGGAGAATCGGCCGAGTCGCACGCTCGGCGACTCGCTTCGGTCGCGAGTTATTTCCGTCGCGAACCCCTCGAAATTCGAAAGCTTCACCTTCGGCGAGAGAACAGCGAAGGGGTGTACGGCTGCGCAGAAATAAATGCCGGGACGCAGACGCCTCCGCATGGACCCAGATCTCCGGAGAATCGAGAACCCGAGCCGGGGCGAGACGAGGCGAGGCGATGCGACGCGGCGCGACGCCGGCGTTGCACCGCGTCGCAGTGCACATCGCGTGACGTCACCGGTGGCACGTGGCTCTCCCCTTGCCCTGCACCACCGCTAACGTCGGTGCAGCGCAGCGGGGTGCGCGGCGCGGTGGGTGGCTCTCCGGACGAGTAGGAGAAGGTAGTTAAGGTCACCGTGGCCCTGACTGCACGCGCGCGAAATAATATCCGTGTGGAGGCCGATGCATCTGTGTTGCCCAGCTTCGTGCGAGCGCCGAGCGCATTAGAACGCACCACGCCGGAAGATTTATTTCTAGTTCCGCTGTTCTTTCGCCACCGGTTTAGCCATCACGACGCTTTATATACAGGCAGAGTGGCTAATTCTCAGTCAAGGAGATCGTAGGGCATAAATTATTTCGGCTACGTCGTGCCGAACTACTTTACGAACGTCGGTGTCAAGGGCCGCGCGAGACGAATCGAAAGGGCCGCGGTTTGCTCACCCTTGATATAGAAAGAGAATGTGCAGACACACGCGTATTCGAGGCAGTGGTCAAGGCCCGCGCCTTGATAGTCGCCCTTCCTTCCTTCCTTCCGTTCCCACCCACTCCACTCGCGTGCGACCTACCTTGGTTTCTAGGGGTGGTGGGCCACCAAATGACCTAGAACATCGCGCGAGGACTTCGATACAGCCGCGCACGTGTCACCATGTTGCAACGTTTTTGAATATTTACGAAACTCACGGAATTCACACATGATTCGAGGGTCGGGATTCTTCTTTTTTAATCCCTTCTAATATTAGAAAAGACGAATGCTACTTTCTTGTGAAATTCATTCCTCGGATTTAAGTAAGAAACTTCTCGGCAACCAGTCGACATAATCGTTTCCTCCGCGAGCTCTGCATTCGAAGGTCTTCCAAGCTATTCCAGTCGCCAAGTTCCACGAATAACTTTCATTCACCTAGATCAGTCTCACGGAATCAATCACCTGTACTCTCTCCTCACTGATCCGACGCACCATCCATAAACAAACCTACCCTAACTCTTATTCTTAGACACTTTCAACATTTTTCCTTTTTAGGTATAGGGAAAATATGAGAGAAGAGAGAAAACAAAATGTGGGAAGAATCTGTGATCTAAACTTTTTTAATTCGCGATATACGAAGTATTGAAATTATATTTTATTATACGAAGCCTTTTTTTCACTGCACGTGTATTGAAGATCAACAAGCCATCCTCCATCCCCAGCTATCTAACCGGTCGAACTACTCGAACTACGATATAATCGCCTCGTAATCTCATTCAATTGCCAATCAACATCCAATACCACTAGATCACCGGAACGGATAATTACCAGCGAAGTGGCAGTGCCGTCATAAAAACGAGTGAGCCGTGGATCACTTCCGTTTCCGACTTCGTACATAAACATCAATAGAAACAAAAATATAATTTTTTTAGCAATTTATCGATATATATAAATAACGAAAGAAGATCAATAAGCCTGATCCATTTAGAAATTTTGAATCGATCAATTCTAGATCAATATTGAAATCGGCCATGGCAGACATATCGAATAACAGGTATTAAAATGAGTTTATATTCGATGCTAGTTTCCCACGGAGTTACTGCAGATCGTGCGTTCGTGTCAGTGCGAATCATTGAGTAAACGCGATCTTTCGCGGTGAGTCTAGGCTGATCTAGCCAACCCGATGACCTTGATCACCGACTCTTCTGAAGTCGGTCAACTGGGTCAGGTGCGCAATCGGGGCGAGTAGGTGCAGCTATGCACACTGATGCAAACGATGACTGGGTTACTGGCCAATGAAAGTGTTCGAAAATAATACGACCGCTGGACGCGGGATCCGTGAAACGGTACCTCGACCGAACCGCTGGTCCTCCGCCTCTGGAGGAGGCCAGATGAATGGACAGAAGTCGACTTCGCGGTCGGTGAAAGTAGTAGGAACCTTCGGCTAACTGGGTTACGAACGTTCTCCGCGATCATCGAGAAATATATACATACACACGGAGCCGGCCGGCTCCATTGGCATTTCTCAAGCTGGCCTCGTAAAAGGACGACGCGTGATCGAAAGCCGATCGATTATGCAAGCGTGAGTAATAAGGACATGGATTTCAGAACGTTCATCGAAAGTCAAACCTAAGTAGAATATCGGAACGATGAAATAACGTAAAGCTAAATTGTACTAAGACAGGAGGTAATCATTTACCAACCAGTCATAATCCTATTTATAAATCACAGTCAATCCGCGATACATCTTAACTTGTAAGATTATTTATTTTTAGCTGATAATTTCTACTAATAAGCAAATAATGAATTAGATGCTCGATACTTAATAAAATCCGATTAGCAAGATTTATGAACAGATTATGTAAACGAGTGAACTAGTCGAGTTATTAGACCGCGTTACGAAGAGTTAATCGTGAAGCCGGAAGTTGGACTCACCTGTTCGCTCTCGTTTACGGTGTTGTTCGCTGGCCCGTTTTCGATCGGGTCGTGGTTCACTTTCGCCCGGATCTGGAAAAAGAAAAGGAGAGCAAAGGTTACTGGATGGGAACTAGAGGCGGCTCCCGTTTCGCGCTCTCAAGCTTTGGCCCGCGGTTATTTTCAGAGCCGGTCGGACAGATTTTCCGGCGGCACGCTCGCTGAAACGCGCCTAAGTTTAGAGCGAGGCGATAATACCTCAAGGTTCAACTCGTTAGCCGCCTTACGAAATACCGAAAATCGCCGCGCATGTTTACATCCTTGGCTCGGTCGAAGCTTATGTCATCGCGATACCATGCCGCCCCGTGCTCTTGGCTCGAGCATCATGCGCGAATGCACGATCGAGCTAATCTTGTTTGTTAAAAGCTATAATCGTACCATCTATTGTCTCCGCGAAGTAAAAGCCGGAGTATTTAGGAAACGCTGGGGTCGACGACCCGGAGTATGTATTTTATATTATTATATTTAATTATAATATGAGGTATATGGTCCTCTGGTACGAACGTATTCGTTGGTATTTTTAAGAACGTGGAGCTGTCAGGAACTTAAACTGTTCGTATTTCTGGAAGACGGTAATAACGCGTTTCCTAATGGAGAAACTGTTTAGCAAACATTGAAGATACCGGTAAAACACGTAGCAAACAGATGCTGCGTAATCCTTGAGAGATAAGTGCAACGCGTTTTGCTTGTTTCATTCTCCTCATCGACACCTTCAAACCAGTATTGATATGAAAATGGAAAATCATTTGAGGGAGGTACGTGTTGATCTTTAGAAGCTAATAATTATCTTCGAACAGATTGCGAAAAGTGAATGTCACGAGAATTCAATCCTGTAATATTTTCCTCTAGGATACACGTATGTACGTATGTAGAATGAATTACGTATTTGCTAAATTGTGGAGTTCATTAAATGAATTAGTATATTAATGATGAATAATAATAATAATAATAATAATATACTGCGTTAAAGCGTTAATTAATTGGTTGTAAATTAAATTTCACATACAATGAAAATAGCGTGAAAAATAAAATAATTAACAAGCTCGTTCATTTTATTAGAGCGCGAGGAGATAAATTTAGGATTTGAGTTCATTATTTCTTTCTTTCGAGTGTATCAAGGATTCCTTAATAACGCAGACGTCGGTCTTATCGTTTTCGTAAACCTCGGAGATCCTGTTGAATCTCTATCGAAGGTTATCGCCGGCCGTGGCTGGAATGCACAATTAAATCGCTCATAAGGCCTGCCAGGGACTTATCTGGCCGAACTTAGCTTCTTCCGCGTTCGGGAGCTTACATTTAATTAACATCAACAAGAACGATAAAGCCAACTAGTTGCATAACGCAGCTCGCACGGGATGCAGCACGCGATTCATGACCTCGAGATGATTTTAAGCTATCTTTGAGAATCCAGACTGATACACTGTGGATAATGTAAATTGTTTGCGAAAGTTTACGTTCTCTGAAAACCCGTTCCACTTGCTCAAGATCTCGCGTCCATCAACGAGCTTAATCAAAGAAAGAATGCACCGTGTAATTGCGTTAAAACTCTTAACGAGTAACATAATTTAAAATCTCAACTATTAAATTATTTGCAGACGTTAGCATTGTTTGAGACTCCCTTCGTTGCAAGTGAAAAATCTCGTTACAATCATCTTCATTAACGACAAACTTTCTTGTTACTTGTCTTCCGGTACGGTAATGAAACGTACTTTCCCCAAGAGTAATTTCCCTCGTCCACGCTCGTAATCATCTAAATATAACGATGACCACCGTTGACTAATCCCACACGTCACCCCGTATAGAGAGCGAAAAAAAAAACAAGAGACAATAGCCATCCATTACTTAATCATATCTCCGATAATGGAGAGACAGATAATGCTCTAGGCTACGCGAAGGCCAAGTTCGCCGGATTACATGGAATTGCAATGGGGCACGGATGCGACGCGTGCACTCAGATTTATCAGATAAGGAAGAATCGTATCGATCGATCGACAGCGTTTAAACGAGACGGTTTCGTACTCACCTTCTTCTTGCGTGGGTGCTGCTCCTCGAGGTAATCGGGCACTATACCCTCGTCAAGGGTGGTGGTCGAACCCGGGGTGCTGCCCGACGACGAGCCAGACGCATTGTAAGGGTAATGTTGCTGATTGTGCGAGGGATGAGCTGATGTCGGCCATAACGAACCGGTCGTCGGCGCCCCTTCGTCGCTCAGAGGCGGACTGGGGGTGCCGCTCCGCCATGAAGCCCCGCTGCTGCTGCTGCTGTTCGATGTGCCACCGACTCCTGGTGAGCCGACGACCACGCCGCCACCTCCGCCTCCCCGACCTCCCCAAGAACCTTATCGATAGAACAGAGGGACGTATTTTAATTAACCGACCTATTAAACGGGCTTGATATCAATCTACGGGTGCGATCGATGGAAAAACTAATGCGGGAGCTTGCAAATATTCTTTGCATATATCGTGTTTACGTAGAACCGGTTTGATAATTCGTTACAAATTGAAGAGCGATTGTACGCAATCTCTTCTTCGAGCTACGATTAGATAGAGTCGTTTACCAGACATTGTGGCAAAGTTTAATTCTTGTCTTATTTCAATACCCCCGTCGATGATTGTCTATACTTGTGTTTGGAATATTGAAGATTGTATTGGTAAATACCGTTTAATAGAATGTGATAGATTCCTATATGCACTAGATTTCAAATTACAATTCAGTCACTTCTCATGCGACGTATAATTGAATACGACTTATTATAGGACGTCACGATGAAAAAGACTAACGTTTACCATTTGCCTGATGATACTAACCGTAATTGTGTTGGCAGTGCAGTGGCAGGGGATTGTGAGGACTGTGTGGCGAGCATGAAAGCGACATGAGGACCAGCGCTGCGGTGCACTCGTCCATGCAGTCGCCGCGTTCGTTGGTACGACATCCCTCGCGACCGCATCCATGGGGTATTCTCTCGCTCCAACCGCTGTAAGATCGTTCCGAGTCGTTACTCGAGCTGGGTCGCCGCTTTCTGGATCTGAAACATCCAACCGTTGAAAATCCACAAAATCCTTCGGGGTCCACCAACAAAATTGTTTAAAATTGCTACATATTCGAACCCTCTTCGTATTTTATATCATTGTACATAGTTCAATTAAATATATTAAATAAAACGTAAATTTCTCACGAGACATCCGATCGGAAGTTAAAAATATTGATCTGTTTGACAAAAGATAACTTCAATTGTTCGTTGGGCATTCGTAGCGCATTTTCAAGAACCGTACGATATAATTTACTGTTCCTCTACCGTGAAAATACGGCAAGTACCGACTAAAAACAATTCCGGTTAACAAATTACCGGCATCGCTTCACCATACAAACACCGACGGGCAAACGATCAATTTGATGACGAGGTAGGAAACACAATGGGCATCATTAGGTTCCGCGTTCACGTAACACACCGCGCTGCGTCGTCGTAACGCAACGAGATTAGTGGATGAACGCGCAAATTTCTAAAACCTGAGAAGTTTCATTTTTTCGCCGGTCTTCGTCCGCGACGATGCGAGACCGTCGCCCGTAAACCGCGTCAGTAGGTCGTCGCCGAAAGTTCCGAGAATTTCGCGCTTCTACAATTACGTAAAATAATGTATTCCCAAGCCCGATATTCCTATCCGTGGAACAGCCGTCGCGTTTTACCGTAATGTTCTGACGGACGACGGTGCAAACGACTGTTTTCCGAGAAAACCGGTGAAAGATGCAACGATAACCGCGCCGCGGGTGTACTCAGAGCTGGTGCATCGGTAACCCAGTCATTTTCGATCACGAACCGAGCGCTCGGCTCCTTCCTTTCCCATCACACAATATCACTTCGTGGAAATTGTTAATCGCAATTACATGACGTTCGGGTATTTTATTTCCTCGCGAATGTTTTTCCACATGTTGTTTCCTGCTGTTCGGACAACTCTTTTCATTGATTTCTTATAATCGATTTCTTATAATTATTGATTTATAGGATAATCATTAATTAAATAATCTGAATCAGTTCTGATCCGATTGGAGGGTTGACTCATTAAGCATATTGTTGCTCCGGGGTAAGACACCCTTTAATACAGTGGATCGCTGGCAGATCGGATGCTCCGACATCCGACACTACGTGAATCGATAGAACCTCTGACTCTCCGGGAAATGAGGGAGTAAATTTTCCTCGTTATCTGCGTCGATCGGATGTCAGCAACTCTGGGAAACCAGAAATCGATACGGCGAATTCGGTATCGTTGGCGCATCCATTTAACATTTCATAAATCGCAACTATCGACGAAGAGTGTCGTTTCGATAAACTGGATTGAATGTCTAAACTTGGAATTTTGAAAACGATCTAAGAGATGCATTACCCTTACTCCTGTCTAGGAGAGAGAGAGGGTGATAGTTGAATGGCAGGAAGTGTCCAAACAGCCAGCGTACTTTCTAGAATCGAAACCGGGCAACATTCTCTTTCTCCAGGTTCCCGTATAACTTTCATACATGCGAGAGAGGCTGAAGAGAGTTCGAGGCCCCGGGAGTGAGCGAGCCTGTCGGGGTACTGACACGCGGAACAGAAGTCGGCCCTGTCGACGACGGGGACGGGCGTGCTGCACACGAACGTCTGCACACACCGACGAAGGACACGGGGATCGCGATATCTCCGTTCGCGTGGAGGTGGCTCGAAGCGAAACGACATAGTCAAGGCCGCCACTTAGCCGTTCCGCTCAGAGCGGTACCATCGAGAGTCGAAAGTGAAACGTCGCGTTACCCAGAGGAATGACGCACGAGGTAACACGACCAGCCTAGCTACAGCTAGGGAGACGGTATTTCGAAAGTGACACCCTTCTCTCCTTTTCTCTCGTTCCCTCTGCCTTTCTCTATCTCTCTCTTTCTCTCGAAGACTTCACGGTAGGATCACGAGAGCCCCGTCCCGTTTTCGTGGCAACGCATCGGTCGAAGGTCGAACGCATGAAAGTCGGGCCGGAATAGAGCCGTCGATAATTAGTACCGTACAATTGCAACAGGTAAATGGAAGGTAAACGAAGAAGGAGGAGCGAGGCGAGTTTCGCTGCGAAACGAGCAGAGGAGGTTCGCTGAGAAGGGGATAAGAAGGGACCACGAGCTGCCGTGGATACCGTTAGATTCGAACAGAACAAACGCGACGAGAAGGATTTGTTGCACGGTACATAATCGCCGGAGCACCGTAATTGCGGTTGCTACCTTCTTGGATTTTCTAACGAGGGACTTGATTGAAGGGGTGTCGGGGTTTTTCCCTCGATTGGACGGTACGCGATGCAAGTACAGTGAAAGTCCACCGACACGCTGTGATTCAGTAAATGCTGTCTCACATGTAGAAGTCGCTATAATGTTAATTGACTCCTTTGAACGTAATTACCGGTCTCATATCGTGAATGAGAACATTTTATTCTTTGGCAGATGAGAAAAGAGCTCTGAGGATTTTTATAATGAATTCCGATAAGAAAAAATGTAGTAAAAACCGTTGGTAACTGAAATATTGCTACCATAAGGAGACATAGAATCCAGACCCGGAAGCATCCAATCACGCAATACCGAGACTCGAAAGTCTCTATCTCCGACAACCTCGACAATTATCATTGATCTCGAAAAACCGCGAATATCCGGCAAACCTTAATTACCTGTCGCCTTAATTAAAGAGACGCCGCGCGTCAAGCTAGCAGAGACATTGTAGAAAAACGAAAGAGAAAGTAAATTGCCCCGATGCCAGTGCTCTGAATAACTACGCCGGCTACCTTGTACTTGGAGGACCGATCAAGGTGGACGGGGATAATCTTCCTTGATGTCGCATTCTTTTTTCCCCGTCCGTGTTGCGTGCTAATTACCCGGCGAGCCGAGCCCGTTTACAAAAACCGAAACGAAATTCGATCGTGGGAAATGCGGATCGATCGTACCTCTACTCCCTTCTCTCTCTTTCTTATTCACGTTTTTCCACAGCGACGCATGAGAGTCGTATCACGTATGAGAGTAACGCGGCTATCATCAGTGATCAGACTCGGAGAACCGAAGAACGGGAATGCACCCGCTTAACGATCCGCAGTATCGCTTTATCATTGCCCGATGACGTAATGTTAAAGAACTCATTCGAACGAAGGACGCGTCGCGCGACACGAAGTTGAACGTGCCGAATCGATGAATCTGAAGACCGTTTATTTATTATTTTATTTTAATTCTAAAACGACACTGTCGACTCTTCCATTTATTTTAAAGCAAAATGTGCTAATAAAAATGAAAATTAATCAAGAGCCCGTCGAGTAATCGAGCGAAGATTTGCAAATTCTGTTCTAACATTCAATCTGGATTACCCAGTACACACATACGTATAAGCCTAATCACTGACTATTAAGCGCAAATTCAATTAAGAAGCGTCGTACTACGTACAGGATACACCGGTTCATCTTCGAATCTAATTTGTCCCCGGAGCGAGCACACCGAACAGACCTGGACTGGATGAGGCGAACGTAAAGAGGAGAGGCTGTTCCCTGTCCTGGCCCCGGTGCACGCTCGCGGTTGCCCCAGAAACGGTAATGCACTTCTCGCTATATGGGTCGGGAAGCACGTTGATCCATATTCGGGGCGGCATCCCCGTGGAACGGAGAACTAGGTCGGCCACGCGAAACCAAGGTGTTGCTAGCCGGCTCTCCTGTTCCGGGCTCCACACGCTTTTCCACGAGAGCTTCGAACGGCATATTTAACGCTGGGGTGTTACGCTCGCGTACACGCGTTTAGAATAAGGGAGGAATTGCGGGACGCTGGTCGTGAATAATAGTAGACCCTACTGTGGGAAACTCGCTTCCTAATTGCGAATCGTTATTACAGTAATTACATCACTTGAAACATTAATTAAATGAACGAACTGGTTTAAAATCGATCATCAGTTTACCTCTCACAGAAGTAAAAAGAGATGTCTAGGTTCGAGAATGATTTAGAATCCTATTTATTTATCAACGTGCTGTAATGCCTCTTGAGAAAAGGAATTGGAAGATGGTCCAGGTAACATGCACACCCCATGAAGAACGTGTAGAACTGATCCGGTTTCGTACGATATCCGGGTTACGGAATCGAACAGCGGGGTCAGTCCGCCGGATACATAGTCGGTTGGCCTCTATCGAGCGACCTGATTCCGCGGCAAGACAACCCGGACAACCTGATTTCGACTACGTCGACCCTATTTGCTGACCCGGTTCCCCCGATCACGGGGTGCTGCTTGGAATTTATGGTCGCGGAACGGTGCTACGTCGGTCTCTTTCGACGGTACCACCCTCGCCCGATGAATATAGAATTCACGGCTAGTACAAAAGTTCTGATGAAAGAATTCAATGGAGTTTTACTTTTTTTTCTCCTACAGCGGGTCAGAAATAAATATACAATCTCAAGTGTGTAATTATATTTTGTGCAATAGAACATATATTCTGTCTTTTGTAAAACTATGCACAAAATCAGATAAACGAAATAAAGAACTATTAAAGAAAATTGGAAATAATCTTATACGCTCTTCACATTTAAAATATAATAGGTTTTCATCGAATTTTCTAATCTTCTGAGATAAATTAACAGGAAACTGATATGATTCTATCGAGATACTATTTCATTTATATAAAAGATTGCACTGTATGACTGGAAAACTGTTGAAGATAGACTTATCTCTTGATTAATACCCCGGGACGATCGTTAATCAAACGTGTCGTTTATACGAGCTGACTCGGTTGATTCAATTTGTCTCTGAGTAATTAAGAGATAGTCTAACTTGTTCAATTAAAGGAAATACAATCAGCAAAATATATTTTTCTAAACGAATGAGTTAAATCTTTAATTTCTTCGTTCGTTAAACAATCGTCTGTTAATCCATCAATTAATATCTCAGGACAACTATTTATCAAACATGCTACTTTATCAAGTTCTGCAATAATTTCCTCTAACTTAATTACCGTCCTCGAATAATTGACGAATGGGTAACGTTCTATCTTCGTTACCAAATAT